ACCAACTGGGCCACAAATCCTTAGCCTGAGATCATTGTTTGTTTGAGATGGGAGTCTCATGCGGCCCTGCCTGGCTTTCCTATAACTGTGTAGTTAAGGATGATTCTCCTACTTCCCTCGACCCCCCCCCCCAGAGCAGAGACTACAGACCTGCACCACTATACCCAGCTTGAAGCCAACATCTTGATGACGTCCAGTGAGCTGGCTTACAGCTTACAGTCGGGAAGGCATGGAGGAGGGGAAGATGGGGCCCAGATGGGAAGAAGGCCTCCAGGTTTGGGAAAGGCCTAGGCACAGAGAAGGGAAGGACCCTCGTCATTTCCACTCACAAACCCAGGGCAGCTGGGAGTTGATTTGATCGATGACTTTTCCCTCTTCCCCTGAATTCCCCTAAGATGACCTTTTAATTGGGTCCATTTGTTCCAAGATCATGGACTGAGCCGAGCAGATGCCAGATTATTAGCCCACTATTAAGTAGATTAGGAAATGGGCCTCTGTCTTGGCCAGAGCCATGAGAGCAGCTGGGCAGTGTCCCCAGGGGTGCACAGATCTCTGCACTCAGCCCGGTGCCCTCCGGGCACCTGCTTTCCCACCAGCCTTGTCTCCAGGGCCCTTCCCTCTACCCTGCCCTCTGTGCTGCAGTAACTGTCCAGTGTTCACACTTTTATGATGCTGGCAGTACCGTTCCAGCAACATTTTACAGCATCTAATGACTACATTCTCTTTCTTGCAGAACTTTTTATTCTTCCTGGAGTTAATCATTTCCTAAGGCGACATAGTCTGAAGAGGAAGAGAAGTATAACTAAATCATAAATAATACTTGCAGCCGGATGGCTCAGTGGTTAAGAGTGCTTGCTATGGAAGCCTAAGGACCTGAGTTTGAGGATCTGAGTTCGTATCTCCAGGACACATGTAAAAAAATATGCATTGCCACATGCATCTGTAACCCCAGCCCTGTGGGAGGTGGAGACAGGAGGATTACTCTGACTTACTTGCTGCCAGCCTCGTTCCAGATACAGTGAGAGACTCGTATTAATGGAATAAGGCAAGTGATGAAGGAGGAAAGTGATCGTCTCCTGTGACCTCCTCCAGTACACAAAGATTCAGACAGACAGATGCATGCACATAGATGAAAATATTTTACTTCAGTGACAGACTGCGTGCCTAGCAAGCGTAAAACTGTGGGTTCTGTCTTCAGCTCTGAAAAAAATAAGTTAAAAAGAATCTTTTCAAAGGGTAAGACTGAGACAGACACAGGTCAGATACTCGTAACTCTCTCCCCTATAAACATAAAAATTATATAGATTATTGAAATAACATATTTTTTTGTTTTTTTCGAGACAGGGTTTCTCTGTGGCTTCGGAGGCTGTCCTGGAACTAGCTCTTGTAGACCAGGCTGGCCTCGAACTCAAAGAGATCTGCCTGTCTCTGCCTCCCGAGTGCTGTGATTAAAGGCGTGCGCCACCAACGCCCGGCTTGAAATAACATATTTTGATACACTGTATATATCATGTAATAATTAAAGGAAGTGAAGCACATCTTCCTTCTTATCTGTCATCTTCACATAGTTAAAAACTTTCCCAGAGGGCGGTGAATCATCATGATCTGCAGTTATAGGTGGCTGTGAACAACTAGACACAGGTGCTGGGAATCAAACCTGGGTCTTCTGCAAGAGCAGCAAGCATTCTCAACCTCTGAGTCATCTCTCCAGCCCCTCTTCTAGCTTTTTAAAATGTACAATATTAGCTGGGTGGTGGTGGCACATGCCTTTAATCCCAGCACTTGGGAGGCAGAGGTAATCAGATTAAGAGTTCAGCGTTAGCATAGGTTACAAAGTGAGTTTGAGGCTAGTTTGGGGTATATATCAAGACCATGTCTTAAACAAACAAACAAAAATTAAAATAAAAGCAAACAAATAAAAAAAACCCACAGTATACCTTTGGGGTTGCTAGCATGTAAGTACATTTTTCTGCATTGTGAATTATAAGGGAAGGCTTAACATTTATCCTGTCCAAATTACATTAGAGCGAAGATGATGAGGGAAAGTTTGGCTTGGGGCTTTTTTGTTTATTTTTTTTTCCCTTTTGAGATGGGGTCTCTTGTATTCCAGGCCAGCCCATGTAGCATAAGATGATGTGGGACTTCTCTGATCCTCCTTGTAAGGATTCAGGCATTATGCCGGCTTGCCCCTGTCCCCTGGCAGAAGGCATTCAGGCAGTACCTTGGTCAGCCCAAGGTTCCATGACTCCTAGTCTGCACATAGGTGCAAAGGACCCCTTTAAAAGGAAGACCCCCGCCCACTTAGGATCTCTTCCCCGCCCTCTTCCCTGCCATTCATCTGGGGCAGACAGGACTTTTCCTGTCTCCGTCTTCTCTTCTGTCCTCTCTCTCTGTCTCTGTGTCTCTTTACCTCTTTTCTCTTTCCTCCCCCGCCCCTCCCACTTCTAATAAAACTTCTCACTTAAGCTCTGTCTGCCTGGCATGTTTGTGTCCCGCCTCGGTCACCCTCGCCTGTCAGGGAATCTGCCCGCTTCCCCACATGCTTTATCCTAACACTCCTCCCTCTACCTCCTGAGTGCAGGGATTGCAGTGTGCACCACCAAGCCTGCTTTTATGTGATGCTGGGGCTAGAACCCAGGACTTCGTGCATTGTAGGCAAATGCTTCACCAACTGAGTGCTCTATATCCCTGGACCCTTGTGGTTTTGTTTGTTTAATAAAGCAGAGTTGGGATTTATTAAAAGACATTTAGCTCCGGGCAGTGGTGGCACAGCTTTTAATCCCAGCACTCAGGAGGCAGAGGCAGGCAGATCTCTATGAGTTCGAGGCCAGCCTGGTCTACAGAGCGACTTCCAGGACAGCCAGAGCTACACAGAGAAACCCTGTCTCGAAACAACAGCAACAATGTAAAAGTCATTTTAGCATGAATTGTATTTGTTGTCGGGGGAGGGTGTGTAAAGCCGTCAAAGGATAACTGAATGAAGTCACCTCGTCTTTACATGTGGGGACTCAGGTTTCCAGGTGTGCAGGGCAAGCGTCTTTACTCGCTGAGCTATCTAGCCAGCCCTTTGCCAACTCTGAGCATAGGTTTTAAGATGAGGGTTAAGAGAAAGACAAACTTTCAGGGAGAAAGTGAGACATACCGTGGAGTTTTTCCTTAGACAAGGTCTCTCTGTATAGCCCAGACTAGACCGAAACTCACTATGTGCCCTAGCTGGCCACCTCAAACTCAAGGCAATCCTCCTGCCTAGGCCTCTTGCATATATGTTTGGCCTTGCTTGGGGAGACTCCTCACCAGAGCCAAGTTTGAGGGTTTAAAGTCTCACTGGACCTCCAGTTTTCTCTGTCCGTCCTTTGCCGTTGAGCATGCGATAACTCGGCTTCCTGCTCCGGCCACCGTGTCTGCTGTTTGCCGCCACATCTCCCTACTGTGATGGACTCCGGAACTGGAGGCAAAAGGAAACTCTTTCTTTCATAAATTGTCTCGGCCATGGTGTCTTATTACAGCAGTGGAAAAGTAACTGATACTTCCAGGCATTCAGCTGCAGAGGCCAGAGGACATCAAGTGATCTCCAACTCCTGGTTCCCCTGCCGTCACCTCCCAAGGGCTGGGCAGATGACTTAGTGGTTAAGAACACTGACTGCTCTTCCAGAGGACCCAAGTTCCATTCCCAGTTTATAACTGTCTGTAATTCCAGTTTCTAGGGATTGAACGCCCTCTTCTGGCTTCTGTGGGCACTGCACACAAGTAGTGCTTGTACAAAGCACTCATACACATAAAATGAAAATAAATGTTAAAAAGGAAAAAAATAGGGGGTCATCAACACGTCTGTGAAGGATTTTTTGGAATCTTTCTAGACTGACACAGCCTTCCTTGCCTACAGCATGATTTGTGTCCCTGGCTCCCTACTGGTAGAAAATTTAGGTTTACAACCTGCTGATACAGAATTCTTACTTAAAGAGCCAAAGGGATTTAAAATACTGGCTTTTCTTTACTATGCACTTAAACTTTTACCAAATAAAAATATCCAGTTAAATCTTAAATGTTCTACTCATTTTCCCATGCTAAGCCTCACTGTGAACCACTGTGGTTTAGTTAGTTAGTTAGACAAAATCCAATGAATACCTCAAATTTACTAAGTAGCTGAGGTTGGCCTTGAACTCCTGATCCTCCTGCTTCCATCTCTCACATGCTGAGATTACAGGAGTGCTCCACCACACCCAGCTTGAACTCTTGGTCCCCGTGTTGATTTTGTTTGTGTCCTCAGTGGCTCTCCCTCCCAGACCACCAGACTGCTGCAGAGGTCACAAGACCACTGGCAGTTTGGTCAGCAGATGCCTGCGGGCTGTCCCCTCCTTTCCCAGGGACTCTACTCTCCTTTAATTGCCAGAGAATGTGACTACTGAAGTGCGAGGGTCTCTGGTGGGCACAGGAGGTGAGGGTCTCGAATCCACTTACACAGAGGAAGGGGAGGGATCCAGAGCCTTGGGGAAGAGCTGCCAGGGCAGGAATCCCTGGGTCTCCAGTGGGTAAACTGACACTTGTGTGGGCAGCTGGAAGGCAGTGAGACTGTGAGGGGGCAACTTTCTAGGCGGGGGTCTCCCAGTAGGACAAAGGCGGACCACTGCTGCTGGACTACAGGGCAAATGGGAGCCACCTTGGGGCTCCTGAGCCTCAAGAAGGGGGCGGGGGTATTGGGAACATGCCTGGTTTTGAAAGCACAGCACCCCAAGTCTGAGAATGACTGGAAATGCCAGACATAGCCTATCCAGCAGCAGTCTTGCTGGGTGCCTGCCAGCTGCTCTGGCCAGTCTCTCCAGGCTCTGAAGCAGAGGCTAGGAGGGGGAGGAAGTGAGTTCGCTGCCAGATATAGTTTGAGGGAGGGCTACTGACCTCTCCTGGGGCCTCAGGGCTGGGCCTGGCTGCTGAACCAGCTCCTGCAGAGACCCCCCTCCACCCCTGTCCCCCCACTCCCGCCCTCTGCCCCCCACCCCCACCCTGGCCACTCACTAAACCTCAGTGACAGTGACCGACTCTCTTTCTCCTCTCACTTTGCTGGTTGTAATCCTTCAGTCTCAACTCGGGGCATCTCTTCTCCCTCCTTCAAGTCACCTCTCTGTTCCAAAGGCAGCAAAAGCCACCTCAACCAGCCCCCCGGGACAGCACAGGTGAATTTCCAACTTGTCTCCAGCCTCTGAGCCTTGAGGTAAGGGTTGGGATCAAACCTCTGAACTTCAGAGTGACACCCAGGAGGATTTGGAGACAGTGGGTCAACTAGGCAAGAAAGGATTGGGCTGGGCATTGTAGCTCACACTTTAATTACAGAGCTTGAGAGGCAGTAGCAGGCAGATCTCTGTGACTTCAGTCCCCACCCACCTCTATATAAGTAGCTTCCGGTCAGTCAGCCAGGGCCACACGGTGAGAATCTGTTTCAAAAAGAAGGAAGGAAGGGAGAGAGGGAGGGGGGGCAGGGAGAGGGAGGAAGGGAGGGAGGGAGGGAGGGGCTGAGGACAGCAGGAGGGTGCTGGGAAGCAATTGGAATCCCCTAAGTTCGGATCCATCTTCCTCTCTGGCTCTTGCAGACTTTCTCAAGGCCCTACCTGGAGAGCCAGAATGCCCTCACCCCGAAACAGCTGCTGTGGAGTCATCTGTATCCCACCCCTACCCTCTGCTCCTCAGTGAGAGAGATGGGCTCAGCCTCTGCCCGGTGGCTTCCATAGCTTTGTAGCACACAGGTTCTGGGATTGATGCCACCCATGCCAGCCAGCATTGGTAGACAGCTTGCTTGTCTTCAGCGGAGGGTGAAGGGGCACATCAGAGGCTCCCCACCCAGGGATTCCCAACAGCACTGACCCCAGCAGGACTCAGCCACCACCCTGAGTCGGCTTCCTTCCTTCCCTTGGATCGCCTCCCAAATAAACCACTTGGACTTGAACCTCTGCCTCAGGGTTCCCAGAATTCATTATGCTCAACCTCACCCCAAGTCAGTTACTTGCTGTCCCCTCTCCAGAAACACGTCCCCTGCCTCTGTGCAGAGAACCCTAGTCATTTTGAATACTCGGTTGAAGATACTCTTGAGTCTGCCCTGAAGTTCTGTCCTTCCTGCCCTGAGTCTGCCCTGAGGGGTCTCCTGTGCCTCTGCACATGTCCCTCCGCCCAATACCCACCATGTTCTAGTCTAGCCACCCTTGCATTGGGCAATTGTAGGGGCCAAGGGCCATGAACTTCCCCCTTTGTCCACCCAGTGCCCTACACAGGCAGGGGACATCACAGGCATTATTGAAAAAATGAATGGTGACAACAGCTCCAAACCTCTGAAGAATCCCGTGTTCATTCCTTTGCCCAGACATCTACAGAGTACAGGGCCAAATGTGGGGAGATTGGCTCATAAATCATAGACACAGTGACTGCCCGGAGAGAGTCAGCATTAGACCAGAGTGGTAGGGGCATGACAGAGGCCAGCGATGGGGTATTTCAAACTCTGAGGGGATCGTCATGTGTCTGGGGTGGGGGTGGCCCGGAGAGCACCTAATTATGAGGTGCAACCCTCCTTCTGCTAGCCCCATGCATCCTCGTCTTCACAGAGTTGGAGGCGGAAAAGAAGGGCACAGTGCCATGGAGCTCCTGCAGTCAGTCCCTTCCCTTCCGCCCTTCAAAGACATCTACCCTATTGGTCATGCCTAGTCATGCTTTCTGCATGAGTATAATAAATATTATTTTGTATGGTTTGTTTTATTTGTTTATGTATTTGTTTTGAGACAAATTTTCACTATGTAATCCTGTCCAGCCTAGAACTCACTATGTAGACCAGGCTGGCTTTGAACTCAGAGTGACCTACCTACTTCCCCTGGGATTAAAGGCCTGTGCCACCATTCCTGGCCTTATTTTGCATATTTTCATATTTTAAAACTTTATGTGCATTATGTCATGCTATGGGTGCTCTTCTCTTTATATGTGCATATATATATACATACACACATACATACATGTTTTTCAAGACAGAGTTTCTCTGTAGCTCCTGAAACTTGCTCTGTAAACCAGGCTGACCTCAAACTCACAGAGATCAGACTGTCATCTCTGCCTCCCAAGTTCTGGGATTACAGGTGTGTACCACCACCTGGCATATATACATATATTTTTTATCACACTATGTTTGTGTGATTTTAGTCTTTTTGATGTGTTGTTCTAGTTCATTGATTTTATCTTTGATGTATATTCCATCATTATGTGTGTATAGACACCCTTAAATATTAAAACATAGTCTATTCCTTTATTATGTATTCATTATTTTCAATTCAGCACTCCTTGTCACCATTTCCATCTTTAGTCTGAGGCTGAGTCACCACTGAGTGGCCCAAAAACACGCCAAAGTCTCAGAGCTTCTGTTCCTTAGTCTGTGAAATGGACGGCTAACACTGAACATGTCACAAACCCTCACATGGGCTCTAGAATCAGAATACCTGGCTTCAAACCTTAGGTCTGCCACTTATCAGCCATGTGACATTGGTAAGTCACTTCAGCTATCTGGGTCAGCTTTTCCACTTTTAAAATGGGGGGGGCATGAGAGCCCAGTGTTGGTGGCACATACCTTTAATCCCAGAACTTGGGACACAGGGGCAGGCTAATCTCTGTGAGTTCGAGGCCAGCCTGGTCTACAGAGCTAGTTCTAGGACAGTCAGGGTGCCTACACAGAGAAACCCTGTCTCAAAACAAAACACTACCAACAACCAAAACCTGTCCTAGGGCTGAGGACATAGCTCTGGTGTAGAGTGTTTGCCTAGGATGCACAAAGTCCTGGGTTGGATCCTCAGCACTGCATAAACCTGATGTGCTCTCCCATGCTTGTAATCCCAAAATTGGAGCCAAGAGGATCTGAAGTTCAGGGTCATACTTTGGTACATATCAAGTATGAGGTCAGCCCAGGATGCATGAGAACCTCTCTCAAAATACAGATAAATAAGTAAGTTAATACATGGTATAATAAAAGTGTAGTCCCGCCGGGCGTTGGTGGCGCACGCCTTTAATCCCAGCACTCGGGAGGCAGAGGCAGGTGGATCTCTGTGAGTTCGAGCCCAGCCTGGACTACCAAGCGAGTTCCAGGACAGCCTCCAAAGCCACAGAGAAACCCTGTCTCGAAAAACCAAAAAAATAAAAAATAAAAGTGTAGTCCCTGGCACATAGGAGAGATAATTGTAAAATTATACTAAACCTTCTCCCTTCCCACCACTCCATCAGAGCTGGGAAGCTGGGGAAAATCACCACTTACTCTCCTCTCTCTGTCTCTGTCTCTGTCTCTGTCTCTGTCTCTGTCTCTCTCTCTCTCTCTCTCTCTCTCTCTCACACACACACACACACACACAAGACAGAGAGAAGGGGAAGGGGGACGAAGAGAAGAGACAGACAGACAGACAGAGAGAAGCCGAGGCCATGAAAGGGCTGGAGTAGCTAGAGAATCCAGAATTCAATATAACGGCTCCCTCCCAGTCCTCCTCTGCTTAACAATCTGTCACCGCCTCCTTGTCCCACCAAGGGCGGACAGCCCAGCCCTGTCCTGGCTGGGCGGGACTCCAACGCTGGGTGCCAAGGCCACCGGGCCACAGCTGCTTTCCCCGGTCGTCTTGCTCTGGCTCCGCAGGGCTCCAGGGACTCTTGGGGCCAGAGCTGCAGCACCACCCACGGCCCCTCATTCAGGTGGTGGTTCGCCTCCCAGAGCCGTCAGCCCTGACTCCCGATCGCGCGGGCTGGTGCTGTGCAGCGCAGGTGAGCATGTACGCAGGGCGGGACACGGTGGTGGTGGAGACCAAAGGGACAGGAGCTAAGGGGCGTGGGCACAGGGTGTGCAGGACAGGCCTGAGGGCTGTGGACTCGTGGTACCCTCCCCGGGGGCGGGGGAAACTAGGTGGACAATTCCTTGTGGGTAACGGTGCAAACGGTACCTGAGTACTGTGTACAGCTAGTGTGTGTGTGGTGTGCCCCTCGTGGTGGACAGATTGTGGAGTTGTCCAACAGTGTGGTGTCTATAGCTGGGAGTGACTTTGCCAGGGTGACACATGGGTTCCACAGCATGGTGCTGGAGCACCATGGCGCGCTGCTTTGCTGAGTGGGGTTGTGAGGTGTATGCTCTGTAGGGTACAGGCGCCACTATCTCCAGGTGCTCAGCTAGGGCACGGAAGGCGTCAGTGGCTATGTATTGGTACCACTGAAAGCCTCCCTCCCCTTCCTTGGAGCCTCCCTTTCCTCTCCTTCCCTCCCCCACCCCTTTCTCTCCCCAGACAGGGTCTGCTGTTGCCCAGACTAGCCTTGAACACCTGATGATCCTGCCCGCATACGCCTCCCAAAGTACCAGAGCAGTGGTTCTCATCCTTCCTAATGCTGTGACCCTTTGATTCCGTTACTCGTGTTGTGGGGGCCCCTCAACCATCAAATTATTTTCGTTGCTATTTTGTAACTGTAATTTTGCTGCTGTTATGAATCGTAATGTCAAAATCTGTGTTTTCCACTGATCTTAGGAGACCTCTGTAAAATGGTGGTTTAACCCCAAAGGGGTCTCAACCCATGGTTTAAGAACCGGTGTGCTAGAATTACTGCCCCCAACTATCTGAAAGGTTTTCAGCTGATGATTCTCGCTTTTGTACTGGGGTTTGGGAGAGTGCCAGCTCACCCCGGATATAGGAGGGTGTCAGAGGTCAGGCTTCCTGACCCTCTTATCTCCTGCCCCTTCAATATGCAAGAGATACTTCTCTGAAATCTCACCCTTTAGCTCCCAAATTCCTGTGGACTCCTCTCTAGTGTCTCTGCATTTGTTTTCATGTAAAACATCACCCTGACAAGGCTTCACTGGGGGGCTGACTTGGGTTGGCAGTATTTACCCAGTGATTGGAGTCCTCCAGCACTCTGCAGAGGACAGTCTCCCCCACTCCCAAATGACTCCACAGTGTGGGGCTTCCTAGTCATTATGCTACAGGAGGGTGTCTTGGTCACTTCCAGTGCAAGGGACAGAAGACCTGAATTTCTAGGGAGAATGAAGAAGAAGGAGTTTCCATAGCAGCCTGGGATGACAAGGAGGCCTCGGCATCCTGGTGTGTTTCAGCCACAGCTCTGGCTTTTTACTTACAGGACTTGGGGGAGATGGTGATGCCCTCCAGTTCTTTACTTTGTAGAATAGAGATAGTAATAGTATTTACCCTATAGGGTTACTGTGAGACTGACCAACTTCCTGAATATAAATAAAGTGTTTGCACAGTACCTGGCTCACTAAAACACTTAACAGCTGGTATCAAAACTATGATGACAGTGATGGAGGTCCCCGCATGAATGGGTCCCTGCACTCTCACAGAGTCAATGGTTCTGAGAGACATGACAGGTGGAATCTCAGAGCCCTCCAGTTTGGGCATCTGTGGAGTTATTCCTGTCCCCAAACTGTGTCATCTCAGTTGCTTTCTCAGCGACTCCCTGTCTCCTGGCAAGTCACAGGCTAAGAGGGGAAGTTGCATGGCTGAGGACAGAGCGTGGGAGCGAGGCTTAAGGGCAGCCTAGGCTTTAGATGGGTGCGTCTCCATTCTGATAACCTCTGTGAGGGATAGACAAATAGCCTGTGCCCTTGGGGTGTAAACTTGGCAACTATGAGGAACAGAGGCTAGTGTCCCCCCGCCTAGAACAAGGAAAACTGAGATGAGTAGGGTGTAGATATTTGATCATCCATTCAAGGCAGTTCCTGGGAGTTGGGGAGACTATGAGATCAGAGCTGAGCTACTGGCCCACATGGCCCAGGAAACCCCTCAGGCTAGACTTTACTTCTGAGGCTAAAACATTTGTGTTGGCAGCATAAGAGCCCTTACTCCTGCTGACTTCATAGGGCCAGTTTGGAGATGGTGTGCCCAGAGGCCTTGGAGGACAAGGGGACATAAAAGGCAGTGTTGGGAACTGTGGAAATATTTTGGGGGAGGGCATGTAAATATATCTCCTGTGTCAGGGTGTTGTAATGGGCCGCTGGAAGGCTCAGGCAGAAGCAGGACCAGCCATTGTCCTGTTGTCCACTGTCCCCAAGCAGGGGTTACTTCTTTCCCAGAGGCCCACAGGGTCTGGAGGACAGAGCCCTGCTGAACAGGGGGTGTGGCCCTCACCTGATTTGCTGAGTGCCCAGTGAGGCTAGTTCTTCCTTCTCAGCTGTTAGGTGGTAGGATCCAGTGATGCTGGCTACTCTTCTGGCCTGCTTTTCTTTAATCTGTAATTATGAATGTACTCGCTTAAGTTCTAGTCCTACTGTTACTTTGCACTTAGCTCCATAAGCCCCCTGCTTCCATCTCCCTGTATTTCAAAAAGAAATTGGGAAGCAGAAACTGGTAAAAGAAAATGGATGTATTAACAGTTGGGCCAAATCAGGGCTGTCTTAGAATTTATAGAAAGCCAGGTGTGGCACATGCCTATAGTCCCAGCACTTGAGAGGCAGAGACAGGAGGATAACAGTAAGTTCAAGGCCAGCCTGGTCTGCATATTGAACTCTGGGATATTCAGGAGTACATAGAGAGACCCTGACTCAAAAATAAGTAAATAAATAAACAAAAAGTCACAAAACAAAGGTAAAGACATGTAAATTTTTTTTATTTTTTTTGTTTTAATTTTTGTTTTTTTGAGACAGGCTTTCTCTGTATAGTCCTGGCTGTCCTGGAACTCACTCTGTAGGGTTCAATGTCTTGAACTCAGACATCTGCCTGCCTCTGACTCCTGAGTACTGGGATTAAAGGCCTGTACCACCACCACCTGGACAAGACACATGTAAATTTCACTGTGAGACAGGTTAATGTATCTTTTCCAGAGTTGCAGGTGGCCTGGCCCAAGGTTGCCTCCATTCTCCTTTATAGAAAGACTTTCACTCAAACCCAAAGAGAAAACAGAGTTGTAAAGATCCCCCATTCTTGGTTTGCTTTTCAGGGGCATGGGGATTTGAGATGGGATCTTGTGTAGTTTAGGTTGACATGGCACCCACTATATAGCAGGGACTCCGATCTTCCTGCCTCTGCCACCCAAGGACTGAAGCTGACTCCAGATATGGGCTTATGGCCTGCAAGATCTGCCCCTCCCGTTTTGTTTTCAGGCCTCACATATCCCAGGCTTGGCCATGACTTCACTGTGTCATGGAGGAGGATCTGGAATGTCCCATCCTGTCTCCACCTCCTAAGAGCAGGGATCACAGGCATGGACCACCAAGCTCAGGTCATGCAGTGCTGGGGATGGAGTCCACAGCTTCATGTATGCAAGGAAAGAACTCTGCCAACTGAGCCTCATCCCAGCCTTAGAGAAAACACTCCCAGCGAATATCGTGAGGTGTAAGAGTCCCGCCTATTCTGGATCCAGAAGAATTCTTTTTTTTTCAATAATTATTTTTGAAAAAGATTCTTTTATAGGAGAGGTGGGAGGGGGAACTGGGATTGGACTGTAAAGAATAAATTAATAAAATGTAAAAAATTAAATTAAGGAAAAGTACAAAAATTAAAGAAAACAGATTTATTATATATACAGTGTTGTGCCTGCATGTATGCCTGTAAGGCCAGAGGAGGGCACCAGATTTCATTATGAATGTTTGTGAGCCATTATGTGGTTGCAGGGAATTGAACTCAGGACCTATGGAAAAGCAGGCAGAACTCTTAACCTCTGAGCCATTGCTCCAGCCCTAATTTATTTATTTTTATTTCATGTGAATTGGTGTTTTGCCTACCTGCATGTCTGTGTGAGGGTGTCAGAATTTGGAGTTACAGACAATTGTGAGCTACCATGTGGGTGCTGGGAATTGAACCCCAGTCCTTTGGGAGAGCAGTCAGTGCTCTTAACCGCTGGGCCATCTCTCTTGCCACCTTCCCAGAAAATTCTTGGTTGTTGGTTCTGTTCTTCAAGAGTGAGTAGAAACTTTTTCCAAGTCTCCTTTGGAGGTCAGCTCCGAGTCCTGACCGCCATATGCCTGTGACGTGCACTTATTTTTGCAGGTCAGAAAAAGGTGATGACCTGATAACTTCTGGAAGAGACACACCTGCCTCTTTTGTTTGTTGTTTTGGCTTCTTTAAGACAGTGTCCCACTATGTAGTCCTAGCTGTCCTGGAACTCACTATGTAGACCAGGCTGGCCTCCAACTTAAAGAGATGCAGCTGCCTCTGACTTTGTGCTGGGATTAAAGGAGTGTGCCACCACTGCCAGCTACGTGTAAGTGCACACCTTTAATCCCAGCACTTGGGAGGCAGAGGCAAGCAAATCTCTGTGAGTTCAAGGCCAGGCACACAGAGAAACCCTATCTCGAAAAATAAAAAAATAAAAAGAAAGAATGAAAAGAATATTTCCTCCTCCTCCATCAGGGTTTCAGCATAATTACCCTAATAGTCTGTGACTATCCAAACATTGGCTGTAGCCCAAACGCCAACTTTCTATACTCTGACAATAACATGCCCCAATTCCCACTCTAATGCTCCAGAATTTTGCACCCCAGCACCCCCCACTCATCTCCCACTTTGGCAATATGACATTCACAAGCGCTACCAGGACAGTCAAGTGACCATGTTGCCAGGAATGATGACAGTGAGCCCAGAGGCCCCTCCCCCCCCACACCGGACACGGAAGGCAGTCAGTGGGCATGGCTCTCAGGGGTGATTGGACTCAGTGGAGGGGAACATTGGGTGCTGATCAAGAGTAAAGAGCTGTGGGGACACTGGGTGCCTCTGAGGGTCATTGAGAGGAAGACGGCCGAGAATAAGGGAAGCAGCAGAAGGAACCCC